TTACAGCGTGCTTCTGTCTCCGCGCTGTTGTCGCCCTGCTGATGACGTCAGCGACGCGGTTTAGTCGGGCTCAGTTTAGTCGAGCACGGTTTTGTGGTGGAACCTTTGTAGAAGACACTTGACCACAAGTGGAGTTGGGAAAGAAGGCACCCTTGATGGTGGATTCCTGACTTGAAAAGGTATGAGCAGGAGGAATCCTGCCAAAAGCCACAGCAGCAATTCATTGCTTTTGCTCCCTTTTCTCCCTAGCTGGACCAACAACTGGGAGCAGTGAATAGCAGTGATTCTGATGCCGTCCGCATCTGTGTTCTGTGGGTGGCATGGCAGCAAGCATCGTCTCCCAGGTGGAGGGAGCAGCTGAGAGCATTTTGCTAAAGCTTGCCTGGTCATGGCTGCCCTTCTTTCCGCCCCTGCCTTTCTTCCCAGGTGCTGCCTCACCCAGGCCTCTTGCCTTGGTTGTGTTAAGAGTGGCCAACACCTGATTCTAGAGGCAAATTGGCAGGCATCTCTTTTCTTTTGTCCTTTGCATCTCTTTTATTAATTGAGCTTTGAAGGAGCCGGTTCTAAATTTAAACCCGAGTTCAAAGCGAGGCCTCTGGGCAGGCAAGAGCTGGAGCAAGCTCCAACCCAAGCACCTGGGCTGAGCCGCTGCTTGATGTGTCAGCTGCTGCTTGATGTGTCATGAGTTTGGTAGGGCTCATCTGCGTGCACAGGAATAGGAGAAGCATCAGGAGACTAATGAAGAATGGATTAGGAGGAAATGCCTAATAGGTACCAGGGACTAGAGGCATTGTGATGATAGATACCATGGCTAATTTACATTATAAAGCAAGTCTGTATCAATTTATAAACAACAATCAAGAAGAAAAATACCAGCTCTAGGCACGTGTGATGCTTGGCAGTCCTAATGAGTTCAACGCAACATAAGTAGGAATATGGATGTTTCTCAACCTGATGTTCTCCAGACCTGTTGAACTGAAGCGCATTAATTCCTAACTTGCCCAACAGTTGTGTGATTTTACAAAATGTTGAGTCCACCGTATCTGGAGGCATCAGCTTACAGAAGGCTGTAGGCAAGGGCATATTTAGGCTGTGGAGTAATTTAGGAGTAATTGTTTTTCCCAAGGGAATCCTGGGATTAGTGCATTAGTGAGGCAGGAAGATTCAGAAGTTCTTTAGGTAAGCAGGCTGTAATAACTCATCCATATACTGTGAAGATAAATAGTTTTAGAGTAGATTTTCAGAGACCACCCACAGCTTTAATTCAATTTGAATTATTAACTGTTACATAGGCACACATGCTTTATTTGATGAAAGGGTGACAATCCATCTTTCTTCAACCCCAAATGAGGGAGGATGATGTAAAGTGGACAGAGTACTGTAGCCCTCAATTTTTTAAAAGCGAAGGAATTGTGGTGGGATTAAGGAGACATTGACCCCTGCTGATTTTACACCTAAATGCCCAAAAGTCAACATCACCTTGAACACAAATAGTACTTCTAATGGCTTGAACCTCTAGCAAACTTTCTACTCATCACTGTGTCTGCTTCCTAGGCTTCCGGGAAAGCGCCTTTGTCTTCTCCTTGCTAGCAGCTGGTGTGACCCATGCAGTGGCAACTGCATGCAGTCTGGGGGAACTACAAAGTTGTGGCTGTGCCAGACAAGGCACGGAGAACCAGAAACTGAAACTCAGCCAGCTGCAGTCTCTAAGCCGGGGCAAGAGCCCGCCCCCTATGCCATCCTCGTTGTGGGGACAGCCTAGCCCGCAGGACACCTGGGAATGGGGTGGCTGCAGTGCAGACTTTGGATATGCCCAGAGGTTTGCCCGGCATTTTTTGGACCCACGAAGAAAACCCCGTGATGCCCATGCTCGGATGCAGCTACACAGTCACCGTGTGGGCAGAAAGGTAAGACGTGAATCTTGGACGGGGTTTTGGAGGATGGAAGTGTTGTCCAGTAATATGTGGCATAATGAAAGCTCTGCGAAAGGGTAATCATGAAGACAAATCTTATTGCTACAATTCTGCCACAGTTGCATTACTTGGTGTTAGTAATAGTTAATCTATTTCTGTTATCTGGTATAGTTTTCAATATTCTCAGAATTCATTGGGGTTTTTTTTTATGTTTATTGCTAATGTGCAGCTATCATGGCCATGGAGGAGTTGGGTTTGGGAACATAAAGTTGATAATGTCAAATGTGGCTCAACTAAATTCAGATTCTTTGCCCAAACCATGTGTTGAGACACTGGTGTGCAAGAGAAATACATTCTAACAACCTACTCTCAAAGGGAAAGTGCCTGCTGTGTTTCTGCATGATTTACCATTCTAATTATGCTTGCTTCCATTCAGGAATTCTACTGTATTTCTACATTACATGTAGAGATTTAGCATAATTATTTATGTTATTTATTCCCAATACAGGGAGGCATTAGGATTTTCTTCTTTTGCATGAACCTCTGATGGAGCTTGTTTCTATTAATCAAGCAGCATGCTTGGAGTAGCTGAACTAACAGAAATACAATTGCTTGGCTCCTCTAAAGAAACTTTCTCATATGAGAGATTAAACTGTGCTAAATTGGTGCAACCCTCTGGATAATAAGAAATTTGGGAGCAAGTTTATAGATCTACTTTAAAAATTGTCTGCATACATCATCATCCAAAATGGAGGCATTCTGTAAAATTCAAGCAAGAAAACTGGAAAATTAGTTATTTTCTAAAAACATGAATGTGGGTTTATTTGACTCCTGTCTGAGAGTATGTTCTATTGTAGAACATTTTCCAGATTTGTCCTGATTTTCCTTATGGGTGCATTTAAAATTTTGAGACCAAAGATGGTATTCAGCTGGGTTCTCTCCAGTTCAGGCGAACCAGGAGCGTTGGCTGAGGGAGGGTCCACCCACCCACCCCAATGTAATGCGAGAGCATTGCGTATGCGCAGAAGGTAGTGCGCATGCACAGATGAGGCGTGAGCGAAGCATGCATGAGCACTTGCATTTGCAAACTAGTAGGGAAGGTAAGTGAATCCCAACTCTGATTGAGACTATAATGGATAGAACTTGGAAAAGCAATAACATAGGTTTTAGAATGAATTAAACTGAAATGCACCATTGCCTATGAGCTTGGCAGCTATGTAGGAGACATGCCTCTGAGAGGCGGAGCCATTGTTTCCCTATTAATATTCCTTGTAGTTGCACTGTAGAGAAAATGTTAGGTCTCCATGATCAACTGCTTTGGATAGACATGTCCAACATTAAATTAACCAGTACCTTTACAAGTCACCAAGTAAATGATCATCATCATGTCTTATGGCAAAGAATTACTCAAGTTCATGATTCACTATGTGAAGGAGTGCTTTCTACGATCTGTTTTAAATCTTCTCATCCACCTCATAGTATTTGTAATATTTTTGAGACAAGTTGAAGAACTTTTCATTATGCCAGGAATGTTTTTATCCATCTATTAGATCCCTCTTTTTCCCCAAGCTGAAGAGTTTGGAAGACTAGGTTTTGTCCTCATAGGGAAGATGTTTAGGTCCTCCTCTTAACATATTTTTCCCAGCTCTGTTAGATATTTTTCCCGCAAATGTGGCAACAAAAAACTATCCACATCTCATTCCTGATGTGCATGTACTATGCATTTATATAGGGTTATGATAGGGTTAGCATTTTTATTCTGTTTCTTTTCTAATCCTCCCTCGCATGAAATCTGTCTTTTCTATACTGAGGAGTCAACACTTTCACTGAGCTACTCTTTACAATCCCAAGATCATTTTTCCTGGTTGGTTAAAGACAGCTCAAAGCCCAGCAGTGTAAATGTGAAATTAGAGGGGTTTTTGTTCCAACATGTATCACTTCACACTCAGTTAAATTGAATTCCATTTGCTATTTGGCTTACCATTCACCCAGCTTGAAGAGATCCCTCTGGTGCTCCTCACAATCCCGCCTAGTTGTTTTTTACCTCTTAGAATATTTCAGTGTCATCCATAAACTCAGCCAGCTCATTGCTTATTTCTCAAGATTGTTTATGAATATCCTTGTGGGATTCCACTTCTTTCCTCTTTGAGAGATTTACACATTCAATCCTATTTGGGGGATTTAAAAAAAACCAGTTAGTTTTTAAAGGATGCATCCTCTTATCCATTGATGCTAAGTTTACTCAAAAAGTTTTGAAAAGGAAACTTCTTTTTTTAATCCAGGTACAGGTATATTGTGTTGACAGTCAGCTGTAGTTGGTACTCTCAAAAACCTCTAAAAGGTTGGAGAGGCAGGTGGCATACATATCAGAAGTGGTATTCATCTGGTTCTGATCAGTTCTGGAGAACCGGTAGCAGAAATTTTGAGTAGTTTGGAGAACCAGAAAATACCACTTCTGACTGACCCTGCCCCCATCTATTCTCTACCTCCTGAGTCCCATCTGATCGAGAGGGAATGAGGATTTTGCAGTAACCTTCCCCTGGAGTGGGGAGGGAATGGAGATTTTACAGTATCCTTCCCCTGCCACACCCACCAAGCCATGCCACACCCACCAAGCCACGCCCACAAAACCAGTAGTAAAAAAAAATTAATCCCACTACTGATACATGTCTACATGAAAGCTACTTCTAAATATATATATCCACATATACTCATGGATAAGCCCATTCATGGATAAGATGACTCATTTTTTTAACTAAATACCATGAAAAATAGATACTGGATTACCCAAAGATAAGCCAATTATGGAAATTAAAACATGCCAACATTTTAAGAACTAGCTTACCTATGAGTAGCACATTTTTGGTTAAAAGTTTGAGGGACGGTTTATTCATGAATGTGAGTACTTGTAAGTTATCTACAACGTTTTGGTATTGGAAACTCAACTAGAAAGGTAAGGGAATTCTGTAAGATTCCAGACTAAAAAATGACTGGCTTGTCTCACAGACTAAAGATAGTTGAGATAACACCTCCAACTTATTTGGCTGATGCTTTCTTAGCTTTCTCATGTAAGTGCATGGCTAAATTATGGCCTGATTAAAAAAAATCTATGAAATATATGCTGGCTTTCGATTTTTTTGGGGGGGAAATAGATACATTTCAATCAGCATCTCTGCTCCCTTTCCACAGGTACCAGGAATTTCAACTCCTTAGTGGGGTCAAAAAAAGCAAGGGATTTCAACCTTTTTTTTAAACAGCTAACCTTCCCTTCTGGTCTCTCTTGGCAGGTGGTGTCAGAGCTGAGCAAGCGCAGGTGTAAATGTCACGGCCCTTCTGGGAGCTGCCAGTTTCGGACATGTTGGTTAGCAGCCCCTGATTTTCGCCACGTGGGTTCCATCTTACGGGATCGAATGGACCATGCCACACTCTCACGGCTGGACAACAGAAACTCGGGAGCCTTTTGGCCACGACTCCACAGCTCCCACCTGGCCAAGCACCTCATCTTCTATGAATCCTCCCCTGATTTCTGTGAGCCAGATCCGAGCCTAGGTTCCTCAGGCACCCACGGCCGCCCTTGCGTCAAGAGCAGCCCGCAGCCGAATGGCTGTAGCAGCCTGTGCTGTGGGCGTGGCCACAACATGCTGCAGGAGATGCGAGCTCAGCGTTGCCAGTGCCGCTTCCATTGGTGCTGCCATGTGCAGTGTGAGGAGTGTCCTTCCACAGAGTGGGTTAGTGTCTGCAAATGAATAGGGAAGGCCTGACCCCTTACACCGTGCTCCAGCCAGCCATGTGACAAGTGCCTGCTGCAATATCAGCCATAGTGATCAGAAGACGAACTTTGGGCTGCTGACCTGCTTTCGGTGGGTCCCTTGCTCCATCCTGGAAACATACCTCATCCTTCCAAGAGAAGAATTGCTTCCAATAGAGGGTGAACAACAAGGAAGAACCCCTCAAAGAGATATTCTTTTTTTCTTCTCTTGACCGCCAGCTTGGTCCTATCCCAGTTTATTGCAAACTGCCCTATATGATTTCATGGGTGGAAAATAGGCTTGATCCTGTCCTGCCCTGCAGGAAGAAACAAACAGAACCAAAGTGGTACAAATTCTATATCGGGCCTAGATTTTTCACAGGCTAGAGTCAAGGAAGGGAGACATGTTAAAACCAGCACAGTCCCGGAACCTCAAAATTTCTTTTATATAAGGACTTGGAACATTAAAGTTTTAGTTGGAGGTTGTTTGCTATTTGCAGCTACCATAGTAGGAGAAATAGACTGTCATTTGGGGGCAACAATTAGCAGATTTGCAAAAGTTGCAGTTGTTGCTAATAGCACAGCCCACTGGCAAAATTGAATCTAGGGTGCTGTATTGCAAGATTAATTTATTATTTTGCTCTTTTACTAATCTATATTTGTAAAACTGTTTGTTATAGTTAATGGAGGGAAATATGGTCTCTAATTTTATCTGGGAAACCTACGTCTATTTCTTTTGTCAATCTGCATATGCTATGTGCTTCCCCTCAGTAAACATGAGTTCCCCATCTCAAGCCCATATCTTCTGTTTGATTAAAGATTTCAGAGTCCATTGGCCAGGACAGATTTTTTTTTTTACTACCTTTCTCATACAAGTATTTGTTTCTTGGTTAAAATAAAATGATTTTCACACCAAACACTACTCGTACATAATGTATAGTACAGTTGAGTGTTGTAACCACATAATCAATCCTTAGATGTAAATCCACAATAACATCAATGCAATTAATGAAAATAGAGTTTGGCTTTAAGAAATTGCTCCAGTTAGAATTCAAAAGATTGAGATGTTTTTTTTTAAAAAAAAAAAAAACTCTGTCCATGAAATCAAACTATAGACTAGCTTAAATGGATTGGAAAGCTGGGCTCCAACATAGAAAAATAAACAAACCAGTTTCCATGAGGTCAGAGCACATTACCTGGAGAACAAACTATTGGGGGTGGGGCGTGGGGAGGGAAATCAGTACCTCCACTGCTAAACTCCAGAAACTAAGCTGGATCAAAATCTATATTTCCTTTATATTAGAGGGTTTCTTGCCTGGCAGGACTTAAAAGCCAATCTTGGATGCTTGCAGAATTTTTAGTAATGGAGAGGAGTTTCTTCTACAGTTGTATCAGTGGTGAAATTCAATTTTTTTTAACTACTGGTTCTGTGGGCGTGGCTTGGTGGGCGTGGCAGGGCAAGGATACTGCAAAATCTCCATTCCCCCCCCTCTCTG